CACATGGTGGCTGGGGACCATTGTCCTGGTCCCTATAAAACTCATGGTGTAGTTGTGTTCCTCACCCCACTGTGTCTTGCTACTGATGACCATGTCCTCCTGCTTCTGCCAGGGCTCTCTCTGTGCTGGGATGCATTGGGCTGGGCTCTGCTCCACAGTTTCCCTGTAACCATGTCCGTGTGTGTTCTCCTCTGACTGTGGCATTCCATGTAACCTTGTCCAGGCAGTTCTATACTCTTTGAAACTGTGTGACCTTCCCTTTCCTCCCCTCTCTGCTCTCGCTTTCCACATTCCCTGGTCCAGGCAGCATCGCTGACTCAGCTGTCCTTATTGTCTCACAGCGTGGAGAAACTGTCAAGATCACCTGCTCTGGGGGTAGCATCAACTATTATGGCTGGTACCAGCAGAAGGTCCCTGGCAGTGGCCCTGTCACTGTGATCTACAACAACAACCAGAGACCCTCAGGCATCCCTTCATGACTCTCTGGCTCCTTGGGCACATTAAGCATCACTGGGGTCCAAGCTGAGGATGAGGCTGTCTGTTTCTGTGGTGGCTGGGACAGCAGTGCTGATCAGGATGAAGGCATCCTGCAGGACAGTTGTTGACTGTGGGTTCTGTGGGATGCTGTTTTTGAGGGATGACTAAAGTTTGAGGACCACAGCTTCCAGGAGTGGTTTTGCAGGTTTGGAGTGCTCCAGAGGCCCTTGGCTATAGGGATCCCTGGTGGGAACAACACACTGTAGTTATGTCTGGACGCTTGGCCATCACCGTGTCAGAAGTGACCCACCATAAATCTGGCAGTTTGTCTCAGCAGGTGAAGTGGGGTGTGAGAACCCTCTGTTGAGGGAGCTGGGTGGGAGATGGGGAGAGAGAGGCCAATAGGATCCTCCCTTGAATGCAGGGTCTGAATTGCATGAAAAAGCCATGACCCAGGCAGGTGGGGGCTTAAAAGCTAGAGAGAGTCCATGGCACAGCCCCATCATTTTGGGGAGGCAGAGATGGAGAGATAGAAGCATGGCCTTGGCCCTTCTCCTTGCAGTGCTTGCCCACAGCTCAGGTACCATGGGCAGATCAGCTGCACCTGGATGCAACTTTTGGACACAGGGGCCCTATACTGCTGCCAAAGTAGGATTTATTCCTGGGGCTCTGACTGATCCCACTCTTCTCCCTTCTCTCCTCTCCCTCTCCAGGTTCCCTGATCCAGGCAGCATCGCTGACTCAGCCGTCCTTATTGTCTCACAGAGTGAAGAAACTGTCAAGATCACCTGCTCTGGGGGTAGCAACAACTATTATGGCAGAAGGTCCCTGGCAGTGGCCCTGTCACTGTGATCTATGCTAATAGCAACAGACCCTCGAACATCCCTTCGCGATTCTCCGGATCCCAGTCCGGCTCCACGGCCACATTAACCATCACTGGGGTCCAAGCCGAGGACGAGGCTGTCTATTTCTGTGGTAGCTGGGACAGCAGCAGTGGTGGCTATGGTGTGTGGTGCCAACAGGTAACAGGAAGCGAGACAGACTCCAAAACCAGAGGAAAGATTTCAGCCCTCCTCCCTCCTTGTTGGCTGTGGAGCTGAAGAATGTCCCTGTCCCCTCTGCACAGCCATGGCTGGGAACATCCTCCTTTTGGTGTCCCACAGAGCTGCGGGTTCTCTTGATCTCTCCCATGTCTGGAGAGCATTTCTTTGCCACAATAAAGATCACAATGTAGCCTTGTCCCTCACCCTACTCTGTCCTACTACTGATGACCATGTCCTCCTGCTGCTGCCTGAGCTGCCTCTGTGCAGGGATGTGTTGGACTGGGCTCTGCTCCACAAATGTACCTGTGACCATGTCCAGGTCCATTCTCTTCTGACTGTGGCATTCCCCATCCCTCTGCCTGGGGACGGCTGTTCTCCCAGGGCACTGGCTCAACCCCTCACCCTTCTCCCCTTTCTCTTCTCCCTCTCCAAGTTCCCTGGTCCAGGCAGCGCTGACTCAGTCACCTCCCATGTCAGCCAAAGTGGGAGACACCGTCAAGATCACCTGCTCTGGTAGTAGTGGCAGCTATGGCTGGTTCCAGCAGAAGGTCCCTGGCAGTGGCCCTGTCACTGTGATCTACTACAATGATCAGAGACCCTCGAACATCCCTTCGC